CCCTACCATGTGGTTCCCGATGTTATCATGTGAAAATATTGTAGAATGTGACCACAGCCAAGCCAGACTCGATATGAACATAAACAAAACTAAAAGTCTTTGCTGGTGAATTAGATATTGTCCTGTGCCCTCCATCCATCAGCTGATAGAAACCACCCCTCCCTTAGCTTCCTTCTTGTCAATCGTTTTGTCACATGCATGAGAAATTATTCACCAAGTCATATATTACATGTAAAACCTTAACTTGAGCTAAGTAGACCCATTAGCTCCTCACATCCATTTCTATTTCAGTTGAGTAGTTGTCCAGGAATCTGGCAACATGGCAAAGATAGAATTCCTCCTAGGTTGCATGGAACGTTTATTTTGGTTCTTGTTTTAGACTTGATAAATAACATACTTTACTTATTAATATATGCATAATTTATCATAGAGATTGTGACTTGTGTCCTTTCCCATTTGAAATCTATCTCTGGGACTTTGAAACATTGAGAATATGCAAATTGCCTTGATATTTGGCAAGGAGATTTGGGTGGGAGATGGGGAATTTTCTCCTGACTGGGAAATTCTGTACATGAAACTCTTCACTATTATTTTATGCTCTCCAGTGTCCCTGCTAGGTCACTCCACCCCCACTCAGCTCATTATATCCTGAAAAATCCCTGAGATTTTATGGGATTCTCCAGAATTTTCTTTGGAGTCTTTAATTTAGAATTATGTGTCAAGAGGGGCAAATAAAAAGTGGTATTGCCTATACTCTTTCTTCCCCAGTGCATCCTGCTGGCTCATGTGAAAAGATCCTCTGAATTGGGGAGCCTGGGATTAGTCATCAAGAAATCTCTTCGCTAGGTGGAGGACCCTAGATTCTCTGACAGTTGTATATGGGAGCAAGTGAGGAAGTTTAGCTGTAAGGATGATATGGGGAGGAGCTGTCAGAAAAAAAGCAAACAAACAAACAAACCCAGGTTGTGACATACAGTGGCATTTGTCCAGCTTAATTTCTCTGGCTCAGTTTGATCAGCAATTGAACTGACAATTTTAACCCCAGTTCCTGTATATGTTTTTGGTTGGTTCCAAACAGGATGAGTGTAGATATGCCCAAAATTAGATACCCCATCATCCCCCTTTGCACTGAAATATAGGGGAAGAGAGAAAACTTCCCAAGTCTACTGAGCTTGATTCATGAATGGTTTCCTATGCACTCACATCGTCCATTTTAGGATGTGATGATGTCCTGTGACCAGAAGTGTAGGTAGACATGAAGGACAGCCTACAAGGTTTAGACACACAGGTTGAAGGGTCTGCTCTGTTCCAAACATCAGTTATGGGTAGGTAGCCATGTCTCATTTTTTAGGTGCCACAAGACTTTGGTTCAGGGACCACAGCTTCTTGTCTATTCATCCTCCATAGCTCTAGACATTCTTAAGGGTAATGGGAAGCTAGGTCTTTCCACTTGGGGACTTCCTTGCCCATGCATTTATTTGCAAAAAGTAATGTGTTTCCTTGTAAATCTAATCAATGTGCAACAAAGTACAGGGGCAATTGTACTAATAAATAGAGAATGGGGTAAATGTTATGAAAGAGACTACTAAGGCATAATTCCTTACTTAATGAGAAACATTGGAGCACAATGGTCCAACAAGGATTACAATACATAACTCAAGTGTCATTGTTCTCATTTATTAAACAATGTTAGATTTTTTTTCTCATTTGGGATCCAGTTATGGTAATTCAACTTTTATTTTTTCTTGTCAACTTGAACCTTTTCAACTTCTGGCATCTTATGTTTTCTTCAGTTACAAACAGAATATGTGATTTTATAATATGTTAAAGAATGAAGCTTTAAAACTATGGTTATCATCAACTATATGGAAAAAGTAGGACTTAGGAGAAGGTAGCAACTCCTCACAGCTCAAGTTATTATGTATAATTATTATTATCTAGGTTATTATCTATGAGACACGAACTAGACTAGAGCCCCACTGGCTGGCTGTGTAATGCAAGTGCTCATTCTTGTATGGGGGGTTGTTTTATTGTACAAATGTGACTAAAACACCATCCCCCACATTTTTGTCCTATCTTACCTAATAACAAGTCTGAAAATCTTTTGATAGACTACCCTAGCTGACCAAGTTTCTACCAGTCTACCAGAATTTTGTGTTCATATTTGTCTCTTAGCTGTTCTGTCAACCCACAGGTCATTCACTCAAGAAAGTCTAGCAAGATTCACAAGGAGACATTGCCAGGATAGTGAGGAGATAGAAAACTGTACTAGATACAGGAAAGTGACATTGTGTGCCATCAAGCTCAGTGTGGGATAATTAGGGGTAGTCTGAACCAAGACGTATAATCAAAATAGTGTAGACTACAGCAGGGGTTCAAATGGAACCTGGTTCTTTCAGAAGTATGGCTCTACTAGGACAAGCCCGTTGATACTATTTATTTATTTGCTTACTTACTGTGTTATCTTTATGAAGTTAAACACGGAATTTACTCTCTGACTCTTTGTTTGCCATGTTATTGATGCTTCCTACTCATCAAATGATATAGATCCTAGCACTGATCTGTTATAGTTGTATGAACAAATAGATGAGCAGATACTTTTTTCCAAATCTCTCAGAATTATATAACTATAAGGATGAATTCCTATTAAAAAGCATTTGGAAAATACTTAGAATTTTTTTAAATTAAATAATTTACAAAGTTCAGTCTTAAATGATATTTCACATTTGTGTAGGACTAAACTGTTGACATCATATTTCTAATTTACCATTCATTATTGTCAAATTGAAGTCCATAAAGAGCCCAGTGGACGTGGACATAATAGCAGCGGGAGATCTCTTCTACTCTTTCTCTTGAAGATGGACAGGAACCTCCTCAGATAAGGAAACAGCTTGTAAATGGTTATATCTCATTCTTTGGTGAAGTGAACTTCACTAGCCATTGTTAGCCAGCCATGGCATGTGGGTGCTCACATGGTGAATGTTGGGTGTTTACCTGGTGAGTGTTGGGTGTGCATGATACATTAGGGGTAAAGAAAGGAACATGTAAGGGTGACTTGTCTATTGTTTAGTCTTTATTTCTTTTCAAAAAATTAAACAAATAAATGTTTATCATAGATTTTAATTTTTCCATCTAAGGCATTAAAAGACCTAGCCTCAAGGTAAATAAGTAGTCAGTGACAAAAACTAGGGAAGTTGCAAATAAATTCTTTCTAAAAGTATATTCACATTCAGTGTGTGTGTGTGTTGTGTGTGTGTGTGTGTGTGTGTGTGTGTGTGTGTGTGTGATGGCATGAGTATGAAGGTCAGAGGACAACTTGCAGACGTGGGTTCTCTTCTGTCACCATGTGTATTCTAGGGATCAGACACATATCTTAGGACAAACTCTTTTAACTTCAGAGCCTGTCTGTTGTCCTAATAAATACTTAATAAGCTTTACCCTGAAGAAACTACGTTGCTTATTATCTCTTCTCCTGATGGTATAACACTAAACATAAATGAAAACTAACAGTAGCAAATGAAAAGATAATACTACGTAAACCAGAAGAGTCCTTGCTTAAATGGAAACAAAAACACTATATGCTTACTAAAACACAATAAAAAAACTCCTAAGAAAAGTAAAGAATATGGGAAAGAATAATTTCCTTACTGAAAATACCAAATAAAATGAAAACAAATTGAGTAAATTAAACACAAAATTTAGAAGGTTTTATTATGGGTAGGAGCAATATAAAATAACGAAAATGAAAGAGAAAAGGTAACATGTATAGAAGCTAAGGAACTCATAAGCCAAAGAGAAGAATGGATAAACTGAAAAATTTTGTTTTGATTGAGGCAAACCAAAAGGGAATTAAATATATCTAAACCCTGTGTGTGTGTGTGTGTAAACAGAAAGTATCAAATATATTCCAAGAATGAAAAAAACTGAATAAAACGTGGAATAAAAAGAGACAGAAATTATGTTTCTGAATGACACCAGGTTCTAATAATTTTGTGCATTTTACATATTCATAGAATGATTCTGTGACTATATGGTATCTTGGATGGGTTTGTCTTCTCTGGTATTAAAGAATCAAGGGTGACAGGTAGCAGAAGAGAAATTCTCAAACCTATCGGGGGGAATCAACCAGCAAAGAAAGACTTTTATTAGTGGTGAGGAAATGTCTACACACACACACACACACACACACACACACACACACCACATGGTAGGCAGGCAGGCAGCAAGCAGGCAGGCAGGCAGACAGGCAGACCATCTCTTTTAAGCAGAGCCTGGACATAGGAGCCTGAAACATCTATTCTCTCCATGAGGGCTGAAGTTTTCGGTCTTTCAATGATCTCCCCTAATTTGAGATGGTCAATTTAAATAAAGACAGTATGGCTGCTTGACCTACAACTGTTGTGTAAATGAGTCCTGAATTGGCCCTGAGCCTGGCAGGCTGGTTCATCAGTGTGGTGTTGGTCCTGCTGGTGGGAGAAAAACCAAACTTTTGTCTAAGATCAGGAGGGTGAAGAAGAGGCCAGCCATCTTGGAAACTGGCTGTCTTTATTACCTAGTCTGAGGCTGTCTTCAGCCCTTATTCCTATGTTGTTGTCTGTCAGGAATCTGTCTAAGTTCTCTTCCCTCAACTTTCATGCTATTGTAATTATTCCTAGAGACAGAAAAGCCAGAAATACTGCACATTAATTTCACCCAAACCTGACAAGTAGAGAACAATGAAGCCATGAGTCACCTGTACTTTTGAAAATAAACAAAAAAGAAAGAAAAGGAAAACCTTTAAGTAATGCCAAGAAACTGACACCTAAAATTACTTTTAAAGATTGGCATAATGTAACCACATGGGCTGTATTATTATAATAAAAATCTTACATCAAATTAGTTGTATTATTTTTAGTATATCTAAATTCATGGATTGAAAAAAACATATTTGTTCATCATTTCAAAGGGGCCTGGAAAATAATTTAATGGTATTAATCTCCCATTTGGAACTAGAAGAAAGCATCCTAAGGGAGGTGACCCAGTCACAGAAAGACAAACAAGGTATGTACTCACTCATATATGGATGTTAGACACAGAGAAACGGATTACCAGCTTACCGCCCACACCTCCAGAGAAACTAGGCAACAAGAAAGACCATAAGAGAGACATACACTGTCCCCCAGTGAAAGGGAAAGGGACAAGAGCCTCTGAAGAAATTGGGAGCATTGGGGGAGGTGGCAAGGATGTAGGAGAAAGAGGAGGGGAGAAAAGGAAGGGGGAGGAGAACATGAGGGATGAGGAAGATTGAGTGGGGAGATGAATAGAGGAGAGCAAGAAAAGAGACACATCAATAGAGGGAGCCACTATAGATTTCAAGAGAAATCTGGCACTAGGAACTGTACAGACATCCACAAGGATGACCCCAACTAGGAATCTAAGCAATAGTGGAGCGGCTACCTTAAATGCCCTTCTCTGATAATGAGATTGATGAAGACCATAAATGCCATCCTAGAGCCTTCATCCAGTAGCTGATGGAAGCAGAGATCCACAGCTAAGCACTGAGTCAAACTCCCAGAATCCAGCTTCAGAGAGGGAGGAGTGATGAACAAAGGGGTCAAGACCTTGCTGGGAAAACCCACAGAAACACCTGACTTGAGCAAGTGGGAACTCATGGACCCCAGTCTGACAGCTGGGGAACCAACATAGGACCAAACCAGGCCCCTTAAATATAGGTGGCATCTAGGAGCACTGGGCGACTCTGGCAGTGGAACCAGGCTATATCCCTATTGTATGAATGGACTTCAGGAGCCCATTTCCCATGGAGGGATACTTCTTTAGCCTAGATAGACAGGGGAGGGCCTAGTCCCTGCCCCAAATGACTTGACAGATTTTGATGATCCCTCATGGAAGGCCTCACCCTCCCTGGGGGAGTGTATGGAGGATGGGATGGGTGTTGGTGGAGGGCATGGGAGGATGGGAGGGAGAGGGAGCTGGGATTAATATGTAAAATATAAAATTCTTTCTAATTTAAATAAAATGTGTTAAAAATTAAAATTAAAAAAAATTCTCCCACTTCAGATAGTGAGTTAAAGTAACACCACTCCCAACAATGTGTAGCAAACTGGGACTACAAGGGCGTTTCTTTGGTATTATAATAGACATGAAAAATCAAAGGCCAATTGCATATCACTTGATTCATTAGAGGCATTTCCACTAAAATTGTGAGTAGGCCAAGGCTACAGAAGCTCATTATCCTAGTATTTCAAGAAGCTGCGCACAAACAACAATGAAACAATCAGGCTCCACTAAGTCCAGTCAAGTCTATAGGATCTGTAAATGGGACAGGGGTCATACTGCCCCAATGTCATGCTGAGTCCCAGTGTCTCATTATTTAGTTAATTTAACCTTTAACTACTTCAGTTTATTTCTTTGTAGACACCCTGATGCCATCAGAATAATAAAGAACTTGAGAATGCCATGTCCCAGTTTATTGCTATTCCTACCCAGGATACAAGGCACAAATAGCAAATGACCGATCACCATCCTGTGTTATTCTTTTTGTCCAGTACACTTTTAAGCATTTTGCTATAAGCTTTTTGTTTATGTATTTTTTTTTTGGTTGTGTAAAATGAGAGTATAGGTCACCAGTCTGAGTGTTCTTATTCTTGGTGACTTCAGTTATCTTTTTATCTGTAAAAGCCCTTTGTTCTTGTGGTTGACATGTTCCAACTTGCCTCCTAGTCTGACAGATCTGATATAATTTAGTCATATATGATAAATAAACATTTCAGTGATTAAATGTGATATCTAGTTCCCAAGAAGAGTCCGAATATTCAAGGGACTCAGCAACATTTTAGAATAAATATATGATGTTAGTAATATGGTTTGATTTTGAAAAATTGAACTAATTATGTAGCTATTAGATATTACTAGGTAAAAGTTACAGGTTACCTTGCCCAGCCCTGATACGACGATTTGTACCTAGTCTTATTATATCTCCTTATGCTGTGTTCTGTTGATATCCCTCGGAGGTCTGCTCCTTTCTGAATGGAAATGGAGGAGGAGTGGATCTAGGAGAAAGGGGCGGTTGGAAGAACTGGGAGGAGTGAAAGAAGGGAAAACTGAGATCAGGATGTATTACATGAGAGAAAAACAAAAAAAAATTACAGGGGAGAAAAATCACAACTGTAATATATCAAAAACAACAAAACTAATATTAAGTAAACTGAAATATCCAGAAATAATAAGAAACATGTAGAAACATGAGAAGACTAGATATCTGTCTGAGGATGCAGAATGCACAGGGATATCTAGACTCTCATTTCATTCCCTTGGTACAGTAGGGAAAATAAAACATTGAAATTAGTTTTCATCTTAATTGTATTCCAACTTTAAAAAGTCAGGGCATTGTGTTTAATTGTTCTAACTCAGGAGTCTTAAGAGCAAAGGAAGTTTCAAGATTGAAGACGTCTTGATTATTTCTTGGCATAATAGCCAAAACTATACACCATTATTGACTCACATTGACAGACAAAAGATGGTTAAATTGAGGAGGGTTTGGTAAAGGGTCTTTTAAAAAAGTATAGACTGATTTTGGAGACACTGTCACTGAATTACATAGAAAGTTCAGGGGAAAGGCCCTAGACAGTGGGGAGTGCTTACACTAAGAAGGAAAGTGAGCGAGCATCTATAGGTGAGAGCAAGAGGAGTCGGAAGAAAAGGAATGCCCACAACAGCCAAAGTTTTTCAAATTAATCCAATGCCATGTGGTCAGGGAGCACAGACAATAAACACTGCTAACCAATGCTCCTTTCTTCTGTACCCTAAATCTAACTGGAAACTAGGGAACAAAACAGCCCCTTCAAGGTTCTTAGGAGATGCCTACTGGAGATAGATCATATTGAACAAAGTATCTAGATTCTCAGAGTAATTCTTGCATGACAACGGACATTATCTCACAACATGCCCAAGTTGACAATGAACCTGAACGTGGTCTACAACTTTCCTCTCAAAGCTATTGATCCACCCAATATTCATTGATGCACAAGGGCATTAGTATAGTATAAATCAATGAGGAAGGCAAGATTATTGGATAAATGGCATTAGAAAATTGAGTAGCACTTTAGAAAAATTAGATTGGAGCCTTGCAGGGGCTGTGTGAATGGACTCATTCAGCATCCAGCTTGGCTTCTGGTTTTTGTCACAGAGGAAGGCAGCTTAAGCCCAGGAGCTGTGCAGCACAGACCTCCAGAGCACACATTCTGGAGCCCGACAGTCTGGGTAGCATTTCTAGCTGTCATCCATCAGCCCTATAATACAGGGGAATTACTTAGCCTCTCTGTTTCCCAGTTTTCTTATATGTAAAGTGGGAATGATATTATTATATATCTCATAAGATATAAAAATCAAATTAGCTGTGTCTATAAATGCACTTAAAGCAATGAATCACATAGTTTCAGCTATCATTAGAACCTTAGAATTGACTTTTGTCTTGCAGATACAATAATGTATCAGAGTGGAATGATGACTATGCTAGACAGGCTGGATCTTGGGGAAGAGGCTACTGCTTTGGGGATCTATACCACATACTCCGGTTAGAGCAGTGAAGGGCTTCTCATAACACATCCACTGTGTGATTGGAGATATCTTGCTCGCAATTATGTGGCATCCAAAATGGGTTCCTTGGTCCTTTTGCTGAGTCAGTAACTTGGCTTAAACTCTGAAAAAGGGTGTTTTTGGATTAACCGGTTAAAATACATGGCTGTTTGATAAGTGAAGACCCTTGTCTCCTACCAAAATAAAATAGGCACATCCAGTACACTATTATCAAAGACAAAGTAAGGAAACTAAAACAAAAACCAACCCCAACCAAAAAAAAAAAACAAACAAATACAACTAATGGACACATATGAGTTCTTATAGGATCTCAGTTTGGGAAAAAGAAACAGAACTGTCAATTCAGTTAAAGAAAACCTCAAAAGCTGTGTTTTCATTGTTTCTATGCTAAGTATCATCCCAGGAATCAAAATGCATACCACCGTTCAAGAAGAGAATTTCAGCAAGGTAATAGCTATACTCTTAAAAATGAGACTGTGGAAATAATTATCAAGGCAGCAACATAATCTGAAAGATGCTAACATATACTTCCTATGGAGTAAGGATACAAAGCTTATGTTTAGTAGACAACAAACAAATTCAAAACAAACATCAATTTTCTTTGCTTTGCCAGGCCTTGGCCAAAAATAAAATAAAGACATTAAAGGATTTATCTTCAAGCCAGGAGCAAAGGTAGTGGTGAGCTGTGCTCATTCTCCATTGGTGGAAATATAGATTAGAGAAATCAGCCTGACAGAAGATTTGGTAATATTTACTGAAGCTTTATGCATCCCATTCCTGGCTCTGAAAGCTGTGCTTCAAGCTGTGGCTGAAACATGGAAAACAGCTTGAAAACAAATTCTATTTCAGGCAATTGCCCTCAGCCACTCCCTGACTATTCCTGACTGCTGCTCCCTGCAAATCTCTCCAGCCACCACCGCCCAGCTCTAGGCCCAGAGTTTGGATCTCAGGTGGTTTGGAACCTCACTAATGCCAAACTATTCAAAGTTCTTTGCTTGTCAGATTGCTTCTGCCATTTTTTCCAAACATTGTAATTTCCTGTGTCACTTTGGGACGTAGAACCAGACATCTCACCCTACCCTGTGCTTGTCCATTTCAGCCTTGTTTAGGCCCGCCTGGCTCCAGCCAGGCTGTCTGCCCCCTTGAATCTCTCTCCTCATTCTTCCGTGCTAAAGAGGAACGTTGAACATCCCTCAACTACAAAGTTAATTCAGTTTTATTCATCAAGGAAACTAATACACAAGCTCTACCATCAGCACAATCAAAGGTTATGTAATGTTAAATTGTGTTTTTCTTGATGCTATTGCTGTGGCTGAGCGAGTGAGGTACTGTCTCCTGCTCAGTACTTTCAAAACTGTAATTTCTCTGACTCCATCTTCTGGAGCTTTGATACAAACTTTTTGCTGTATGACTATTCTCTTTCAGCAGTTTTTGGATCCTTCCTT